AAGAATACAAGAGGAAGAGAGAATTTGTTTTTGGGATAATTTCTAATGGAAATACTTAGGTCTATTTATAGTTGAGTTTCAAGAACAATATGTTCAAAGTTTGGCCACCTACCAAAGAATTTTCCAATGTGTACAAGTTAGCCACCAAATATGAAATTCACATGTTCAAAGTTTGGCCACCAACCAAGATGAAATTTCCAATAAGTTGGCCACCAACCAAGATGAAATTTCCAACTTGTCAACTTAATTTCTAGACAAATCTAACAAATCTCCACCTTGGCTTGAAATTACCAAGCCTACTCAACTTCTTCAACTCCCCAAATTTGTAGTGCCTCTAATTGCGCTCACAAGCGCCACACACCCGAAGGTGTTCATACTTTCAGGATGTTAATCAAGTTCAAACAATGATTGAACTTGATTACTGTTACCACCTTGGTCATCATATCTGCAGGATTTTCTGATGTCGCAATTTTCTGAAGTAGAATCTTTCATTCTTCAAAGATCTCCCGCACAAAGTGATACCTCACGTCGATATGCTTAGTCCTTGAATGGTAGACTTGATTTTTCGCTAAGTGAATAGCGCTCTGACTGTCACAATAGAGACTAATGATACTTTGAACAACTCACAAGTCTTCCATCAACCCGTTAAGCCAAATTGCTTCCTTTACAGCCTCTGAAACTGCCATGTATTCTGCCTCTGTAGTAGACAAGGCCACCGTAGATTGCAATGTAGACTTCCAACTTACTGGGGCTTTAGCAAGAGTAAACAAATACCCAGTAGTTGATCGATGCTTATCCAAATCACCAGCATAATTGGAATCAACATATCCAACCATACACTGACCAAGTGCTTCATCCTGTTCAAAAACTAAACCAACATCCACGGTTTGTTGGAGATACCGTAGAATCCATTTCACAGCTTGCCAATGTCCTTCTCCAGGATCATGCATGTACCTGCTCACAACTCCAACTGCTTGTGAAATGTCAGGACGCGTACACACCATTGCATACATCAAGCTCCTAACTGCATTAGCATATGGAACTTTTGCCATATACACTCGTTCTTCATTATTTTTAGGAGATAATCGAGAACTAAGTTTCAAATGAGAAGCCAATGAGATACTTACATGTTTGGTATTTTCATTCATGCCAAAACATTGTAATACCTTTCTTAGATACTGCTTCTTTTATAAACAAAGCTTTCCTCTCTGTCTATCTCTGCTTATCTCCATACCAAAAATCTTCTTGGCCTCACCTAGATCTTTCATCTCAAACTCTTGATTCAACTGAGCCTTTAATTTGTCTATCTCATTTTGACTCTTCGAAGCGATCAACATATCGTCAATGTACAAGAGAAGATAAATGAAAGATCCATATTTGAGCTTTTGGAAATACACACAATGATCATATTTGCTTTTAGTATACTTTTGCCTCCTCATAAAGCTATCAAATCGCTTGTACCACTGCCTCGGAGATTGCTTCAATCCATATAGCGATTTGTTCAGCTTACAAACCCATTTCTCACAACCACCATCTTTGTATCCTTCTGGCTGTGTCATATAGATCTCCTCTTCTAAATCACCGTGCAAGAAAGCCGACTTTACATCAAGTTGAGCTAGCTCCAAATTCAACTGTGCTACCAAGGCCAATAATATTCTAATGGAGGAATGCTTCACAACAGGGGAAAATACTTCATTGTAGTCGATTCCCTCCTTTTGAGCGTAGCCTTTAGCTACCAACCGTGCCTTGTAGCGAACATCTTTCTTGTTATGAGATCCATATTTCTTTACAAATACTTACTTGCATCCAATGGCTCTTTTACCTTTCGGTAATTGTGCCAGTTTCCAAGTGTCGTTCTTTTGGAGAGATTGCATTTCTTCATCCATGGCACTTTTCCACTTATCACTTTCCAAGCTTTGTATTGCTTCTTGGTAAGTGATAGGGATATCATCATCAACAACTGGAAGAGCATAGGCCACCATATCAACAAATCGAGCAGGTCTACAAATTTCTCTCCTTGGCCTTGTAACTGCAAGTGTTTCTGGTGTCTCCAATGGTTCTTGGGTTTGAACCTCTTCATCTTCTGATTCTTCTATTGGAGTTGAAGAATCAGCTGCATCAACTTCTGGGATCATCGTCTGCTGAAACTCCACCTGTTTTGGAGTATGCTCCACCTGCTGTGGAGTACTACTTGTCTGGACAGCTTCACTTGTTACCTTTTTTACTAGGGCAGATTCATCAAAGGTAACATCTCTGCTACAAATTACCTTCTTGGTGTCTAAACACCAAAGGCGGAATCCCTTCACTCCATGGGTGATTCCCATAAAGAGAGCCTTCTTTGCTCTCGGATCAAGCTTGGATTCCTTCACATGATAATAAGCAGTGGATCCAAATACATGTAAGGAATCATAATCAGTAGCAGGTTTTCCAGACCATACCTCCAATGGTGTTTTTCCTCCTATCGCTGATGACGGCAGACGATTAATGAGATGGTCAGCATATGTCACAGCCTCAGCCTAAAATGCCTTGCCTAACCCAGCATTAGACAACATACATCGAACTTTCTCCAATAGTGTTCGATTCATACGCTCTGCCACCCCATTCTGTTGTGGTGTATGTCTAACAGTGAAGTGTGGAACAATACCATACTCATGGCAAACGTCAAAGAATGGGTCACTTTTATATTCCCTTCCATTGTCGTCCTAAGACGTTTGATCTTTCTACCAGTCTGTTTCTCGATCATATTTTTCCATTTCAGGAAAATTTGAAGCACTTCATCTTTAGACTTCATCGGATACACCCAAACTCTTCTGGAAAAGTCATCTACAAAAGTTACAAAATAATGGTTTCCTCCCAAAGACGATGTCTTTGAAGGACCCCATACATCTAAGTGAATATAATCTACAATACCTTTTGTATTATGTATAGTGGTGCCAAACTTCACTCTCTTCTGCTTTCCCAGAACACAATGCTCGCAAAAGTTCAATTTGCAAGCCTTTGCACCTTTCAACAATCCTTTCTTTTCCAGAATTTGCAAGGATTTCTCTCCAGCATATTCCAACCGCATATGCCACAACTGGGCTACGTCCAAATCATCACCTCCGGAAGCTGCTGCAACTGCTCCAATAATTGTACTACCTTGGTAGTAATACAAATTATTTTTCCTGATGCCCTTCATCATCACAAGTGCGCCATATGTGACTTTTAAAACTCCATCTCTCATAGTGACTACTGAGCCTTTGGATTCTAAGGCTCCCAACGAGATGAGATTTTTCTTCAAACTGGGAATGTATCGGACATCCGTCAGAACTCTGGTTGATCCATCTTGATTCTTCAATCGAATTGAACCTATCCCAACAGTTTTACAGGCATTGTCATTGCCCATATAAATAACTCCTGCATTTAGTTCCACTAAATCGGAGAACCACTCCCGATTAGGGGACATATGATAGGTGCAACCCGAATCTAATATCCACTCATCGGAATGGAATGTTGTTGATGAAGCAACCAATGATATGTCAGAGTCATGTGCATCATGCTCTGCAACACATGCATCTGGAGCAGCTTTTCCTTTCTTCTTCAGCTTCGGACAATCTTTCTTCCAATGGCCTTTCTCATGACAAAAGGCACATTCATCTTTTCCCAGTCTGGACTTCGACTTTGATCTCCCTCTCCCTCTCCACTTTGGCTTTTGACTTTTCGAGCGACCTCTTGCCACCATGGCCTCCGCTGCTTCGTACTTGCTCTCATTCTTGATTTTCTTCCTGAGTTCATAACTATACAAAGCATCAGTTACATCTTTAAGGGTAACATTATCCTTACCATGAACTAACGTTGTCTCAAGGTGCTCAAATTCATCTGGAAGAGATGACAACAACATCAAAGCCAAATCTTCATCTTTAAAGGTTTCATCCATGCCCAATAAGTCTTCCACTAGCTCATTGAACGCAGTGATGTGTTCATTCATACTAGTCCATGGTTGATAATCAAATCTGAACAATCTTTTCTTCATGTGGAGACGATTCTGAGAGATTTTTTTAAGGAATTTTTCCTCCAAAGCTTTCCACATCTTACTTGCAGAAGTCTCGTTCTTGTAGCCATACTTCTGCTCCCTGGAAAGACAAGATCGAATCGTGCTGCACGCCAAACGATTAATTGTTCCCCATTCTTTCTCCTCCATATATTCGGGATTTTCTTCCTCAATGGTGATGTCTAAACCTTGTTGGAATAAAACGTCTAACACCTCGCCTTGCCACATGCCAAAATGACCGGATCCATCGAACAACTCCACCGAGAAATTTGTATTTGACATCACCCCTCCTCACCGGTCCAGGTGAAGAGCTTGATGTCTCAACTGATCCGTATTTTGACATTTTAATTCTAACGAACAATATTCAATATCACGAACTGTATCTTTTCAGTAACGGAACCACCAGGATAACCTCAACCGAAGCTCTGATACCAATTGTTGGGGAAAACGAGTTATTTCCCACACGAATGTAGTTTTAAAATTGACCTAAAATATCAAAATTAAAACCACCAAAGGTTGCACTGCGGATAAACCTGTCAAACTATTGAATATTGAAACACAATGGAAAAGAACCGAATAAAAAACAATAAAGGAGAGAACACACCAAATTTACGAGGTTCGACGAGAATATCGTCTACTCCTCGGGCACCACACCGGATGATAACTTCACTATATCGCCAATATTACAACAAATGGAATTCTTTGGAATTCCCAAAGTGGGAGAATGAAGAATACAAGAGGAAGAGAGAACTTGTTTTTGGGATAATTTCTAATGGAAATACTTAGGCCTATTTATAGTTGAGTTTCAAGAACAATATGTTCAAAGTTTGGCCACCTACCAAAGAATTTTCCAATGTGTACAAGTTAGCCACCAAATATGAAATTCACATGTTCAAAGTTTGGCCACCAACCAAGATGAAATTTCCAATAAGTTGGCCACCAACCAAGATGAAATTTCTAACTTGTCAACTTAATTTCTAGACAAATCTAACAGTGTGCATTCCTTTGTTTGCGATAAGGCATCTTTAGCAGTCCCGCATACATTGAGGAGCATGAGAGATCCATCCAGAAGTTGTTCAACCAATTTCCTTTGCTGTTCTTGAGCCAGAGCTTGTTGAGCGAGGGGCAATTGAAGAAACATATCAACAGAGCCATACAAATCTTGAAGGCAGTTGAGTTGATTTCCTAACGATGATGATGTAGAGGCCGATTGAGACTCCCTCAGTCGGTTCAGATTTTCATCGATTTGAGAAGTGATGGGGTGTTGCCTTGAAGGCAAACTGTTTGAGCGAGCATGGAAAGAAGGCTGGACATTCAAAGGAGAGGCCATTGCCTTTGTTTTAAAGAAGAAAGAAGGCCGTTCAATTGTGTTTCAACTAACTCAAGCTAATTTGCTGTCTTCTCCCATTACCATCTACTGAATAAATATATAACAGGCTGAGGGGAGACAAGAGGAATCGCATCCTCTTTAAATATCAATTACAAGTAACGTGGAGTTGAAATAGATCAACACGATTATCACAAACACCTTCATGTTTTGTCTGCTCTCCACAATCAGAACAACTCATCTTCCTTATCTTAAATAATATAATAATACACATGATCGTGCTAAGACAGTATGCAGGATAATCACGTTATTGTTGAATTTGTTGTGCAGAAGAGAGGCAAGATCTGCTTGCTTGACTTGTATATAATATAATCATAACAGGAGACTTTGTACTTGTCTGCATTTGTCTTTAATGATGGGAAGAAGATGGAACATTTATTGAAGATTCAATTGTCCACCAACTGAAATCCAGCTAAACAATTTTGTATAATGCAACTCGTGTATGATCTGAATCAACCATGTTGAATGACAATTGATTTTGGCCATGCACAACTTAACTGTTGACATTTTATAATAGAAATAAAGCAAAGGAAACAAATAAATATTTGCACGAGTGCTGCAACATATACTACTAGTTTCTATCCGATACTGGCAAGGAACGGTACTCCTTGGAAGTTGGAATACAATAAATATTTGTAGCTTTCATTCTACAATGAATAAAGGGTATTATCTAATTTCTGTCTTGTAGTTTAAAGATTTTATATAAATGAGTGAAAGTTTATAACCAAGGACCCATTTTTTATTATTAAAGTTGGTTAAAACCAACCTAGTTTCACCTATGCTGGTTTCTAGAAATGATGTATTTACTTGGAAAGAAGTGAAGAAAACAACTATTAGAACGAGTGTGGTAACTGGTAGCCGTTATCTCTTCCGGAATGAAAACTCGAAAGTTGTTATCTCAATTCAATCTGGTCATTCTCCTTCCTCCCTTCATGTAACCAATATATATATTCTATGACGGTGGAGACAGACATGAAGAATCTCACCCTTTCAAGTTGCAGTCATGAAGCAGCATGGACTTGAATCCTATCTCAACAACTATCTCAACATGGTTCAAGCAATATCTCCCCCCTAACCACCCCGACAACTCATAACAATATTCTTTTACTCACTAAACTCATAATGCATCTCGATTCCTGAGATAATACTATACTATGTTTACGAGTGGTTTTCAAGTTGCTTACACAAACGGTGGCTAGTTTTATTATCATTGGCCTCCGTTATTTAAGCAGTCATTATTGTTTGATCATTTTGAAAATGTATGTGCAGTTATTACGGTTGGGTTTATCAAGTTTTCTAATATAATAATGTCCTGAATCTCTTGTCGTGATGGAGTCAGGCAAGATTTGCTTAAAGAGTGTGAGATTTGTATCTACCATGTGATGATCAAAGTGTTCCAATATCTTCAACGGGACATCAGGAATCTCCACAGCTCAGTTATTCATAGAAAAAATCTCATAGATCTTGAATCCTTGTTTGATAAATATAATAATAGTGGCTCTATAATTCATCTCCTAAGTTAAGATGGTTAGCATTTGGTAAAACTAACAGTAAACCTCTAGTGCTAGTAATAATGTGAATGTCAAAACAAAAACAATTTTTGGCTTAATATGCATCGATGGCCATTCTTGAAAGCCAAGAAAAGGCAGAATCTGTGGAAAGAAGACTGTATAATTATTATTTTTTAAACAATTCTATACATGTAAGTTATACTTTATGTACAATTAGATTTCAACAATTGAGGATGTTGAGAATAGTGACTCTATCTTTGATCAACCTCCTGAAAAAGCTTTCGAGACCTTCATCAAGATCTTGGATGCACATCTCTGAGTTTTCCAGAGCATTTTGCACATTCACAACATTCTTCATGCTTCCAGATTTAATCAAGGAACGCATTGTAGCTTCAGCATTTGCAATTTCATTTGTTTTTTGTTCTTCCTTGCAAATCACTTTTTTCTGGTGCATTAACTTTGAAACTACTGACCATGGACTCGATTTTGATTCAGCATCTGGCCCTGAAATAAAGGACATCAAGGATTCTAGAACGCTGATGGTCACTGCTTCTACTGACCATGGGCTCGATTTTTATTCTCCATATGCTTCAAGTTCTTCAAGGCCTTGCAGATTGACTTTCTCACTGCCTTCCTAGATGTTAAGTATTTCCTAACCTCATTAGCAAGCCCCTCCACTCCTCGTCTTCGGCGCAAAACCGATTGAAGATCTGCATTCCTTTGTTTGAAACAAGGCATCTCTAGCGGTCCCACATACATCGAGGAGCATGAGAGATCCATCCAAAAGTTGTTCGATCAATTCCGTTTGCTGCTCTTTAGCTAGACTTTGTTGAGCAAGGGGCAATTGAAGCAACTTGTCAACAGAGTCGTACAAATCTTGAAGGCAGTTGAGTTGATGTCCTATTGATGACGATGTAGAGGCCGACTGAGATGCCCTCAGTCGGTTCAGACTTTCATCGATTTGAGAAGTGACGGGGTGTTGCCTTGAAGGTAAACTGTTTGAGCGAGCATGGAAAGAAGGCTGGACATTCAAAGGAGAGGTAGCCATTTGCTTTGGTTTAGAGAAGAAAGAAGGCCTTTCAATTGCGTTTCAACTAACTCAAGCTAATTTGCTGTTTTCTCCCATTACCATCTGCTGAATATATATATAACAGGCTGAGGGGAGACAAGAGGAATCTCATCCTCTTTAAATATCAATTATAAGTAACGTGGAATCGGTGTGGATTTACAGGAGTGTAGTAGATGTTCGTGTTTTTGTCTCCTTTCCATAATCAAAACAACTCATCACCCATATCCGAAGTAGCATGGTTCAAGCAATGTGTCCCTATAACTTATAACAAAACTCTTTTAATTAGTGAACTCATAATGTATATTGATTCCTGAGAGAATACTATACAATGGACTATACATGTAACGTGGACTCGGTTAAGATCCACACGATTATCGGAAATGTTCATATTTTGTGCGCTCTCCACAATCAAAACAACTCGGTACCCTTATCTTAAATAATACAATAATAATATACTAATCCACATGATGGTGCTAAGACAGTATACAGGCAATGGCCATTTTCTCGTTTCTGTTCTTCCCTTATATTAATAAATACTCTGCAGGTTATGGCGTTATTGTTGAATTTTGTTGTGCCAAAGGAAGGCAAGATCCGCATGCCTGACTTGTATGATATAAAGGGTGTACTGTGCTATCTGCACAGTTTTTTCTTCTTGAGAAGACAGCCTGATGGTTGAATGTTTGTAGCTCTACTCCATGATAAAACTCCAGAAGAAGTACATGGCTTCGTGCAGGTAGCATCCCCAACCTTGGATTTGTGAGCATCAAGGATCAACCTCATAAAAAAACACAAAAGAGGTCCCTCATATTTACAAGCTCCTTTGATACAGACAGGTAAAAGGAGATTATGCGTTTCGACAGCTGGTTTATAGGCATCAAATGTCAGGGCAAAACTACCAGCACCAAATTCATAACCCCAATTCCCATACCATGGACGGCCTTTGGTAAACTCTTTTGATCAAGTGTTTGGTCATGCAAAACATTGTTTTTATAACGTGATTTACGTTGTGTATACGGCTTCATATGGAGTGTTTTTAATTAGAATATAATATTTTTTTCACCCGTTATTTTATCCGGTTTAATTTTTTTTACATCTAAACCAATTTTTAAAATAAGAGAAATGTAACACTCCAACCCGTACCCGACCCGGAAACGAGTCCGAGATGTCACATTGACTCTTTAAAACAATTTCCTTACAAAATAACCAAACATTTGGACTTATATTAAGAGAATACGATCATATATTGTTGAATTATATTTCATTATAACAAATTTGAAAAAAATATGTTTTCAATTAGCAGTACTATATGACATGAATAGTATTATACTGTATGAACAGTACCATGAACAATACCGGTTCTAAAAATTTTCCAGAATGTTGCAAGGGTATCGATACCCTGCTACAGTGTACCGATACCCTTGCTACAGTAATTCCGTCCACTTATTAAAAACTCATAAAATTTAAAACGTTCATCATTATACATTTACCATTTACATATATACGTTTAAAACATTACAAAACTCAATCATATGATTTTACAAAACCGATTAGTATATATATATCGGATTCAAATCTTTATTTACATGCTAACCTCAATCAATATTACAAAATACAATCGATTCAATTCTTTTCTGATCTGATCTTTGGAAAGGAGAAACTGACATGTCTTGCGTAACTTTTATCAATCTTCCTCTTCTCGAACCCTACATGTGAAACAATCATACGCTAAGTCGTTGACTTAGTGAGTCATATAAAACATATAATAAAATCATAGAACATTTCTTATAACAGAATGCATCCTACATATATACCATCCTTACCTCATTCTATTATCATTTATATCTCTTAGTCATTCTTAATTAAACAATACACACACAACAACATATATTATGTCATGCAACAATTATCCACCTACACATATATTTATAATTCACATTCTTATTTCTGTACATCATGTAACACACAAAGCATCCTATAATCCATTAACATGCTTATCAATACTTATATTACTATCACTAATTCCTTTTTATCATATAAGCATATACTGAACATTTCTATACATATCATGGAACACATGTATCATTTCACCACAGAGCACACATAGTATCATATTAATTGATTTATTTATTCTCTTTAAAGACCATGTATTAACCCATGTATACTTTTGATATCTTTTATAAGCCCATGTACATTACTGAGAACTTAAGGTATTCGAGTACATTGAGGTTGTGCACTTATGCTGTCACCACAGCTCGTATAAGTCCCATTGAGTGGCATATGAAATTTGTCCCGAAGGACCTATGTATTTGTCCTGAAGGATTGCGTAGAACCCTCGACTCTTGGCATGCCAACTATACCACTAGCTCTCATATCACATAACATGGGCATTATCATTTATAATAGTTCATATCATTGCTCTTATGATCACATATTTCTTTTCTTCTGTCACATACCACATGTATGTGTAAACATCTATCTCATTTATTCATGTACATATGTCATATCTTGTCCACATATGTTCATATATATATCACATATACTTTGAATCATATTTTTCACATAACTCATATAAATCATTTCCTATAGTTCATATTTTATTATCACATATTACATATCACATAAATCACATAGCAGATACAAGAACATATCGGTTCATATAATCAAGTATACATACATTTCATGTCATTCACATCCTTATAATCAATACTTCATACACTATAACTATTGGAAATAGACTTATCACAAGTCCAATTCCTTATAATCCTATAAACTAAAATGCACTCACCTTAGCCTTGCTTGCTTTGATTTGATTCTAATTCTTCAATTGTTCTGAAACTCGTTTAGGCACAATATCTACATAAGCATAATTTCCGAGACGATTATTAGAAGCCTAAACCTTACAACTTGATGTTAATAACTTAAACGAATTTAACAGACTCATATTCATTTTTTTCCTTTAGGGGGTATCGATACCCTCCCTAAGGTATCGATACCCTTATTACATTCTGAAATTTTCCGTTCAAGAGGGTATTGGTACACATACATAGGGTACCGATACACTCTGCCCAAAACATACTTTTTCATCCGAAAATTCATCATTTTCAGCTTAAATTCTTCATGTTTCATTCCCTTTTTTGTTATTAACATAAGTACATATATTTATGCTAATTTTTACTCATTCAATACATCCTTAACCTCAAAATTCCATCTTTTATATGGAAGTCAAAAATCATACCAAATTTTCAAGATACTCTAAATCCAATTCTATCACTTCATATCTCTTAATTAAGTTGATGACAAGTCAAATTTAGTTTCAAATTCAACTTATCAACTCTTTTCCAGAAATTTACTTAAAACCTAATTCTCTTTAATATTTCATAACTTCTTCATCTTTTGATTTTAAGACAACTTAAGCTTTCCTTAAGTTTAAGTATCACCTAAGGATCGAAACTCATACTTAAAATCAACAAACAATCAAGAAATCAGAAAACTCACCTTTGCTCCCTTGGTTCACTGTGGAGAAGAAGAAAGCAAGAGGAAGAAGATAACTCTCTTCCCCACCCACGTGATTCATTCATATAAAGGGGAAAAATATCTTTCTTGTCAAATGACCTTTTTGCCCTTTAATTCCTTTGATAATTACTAATAACTTTCAGAAAATATTTCTAAATAAATCATTGAATTATTCAACTATTCCACTTTAAATAACCAAATTCTGAAATTTTACAATTTTGTCACTAACCCGATATTGAGGATGTTACAAGAAATTAGGCGTTTAATACCTAAACTGTCAGTTTTTGTCCGTTTTAGTACCTAAACTTTCAATTTTTTCAAAACCAGACATAACATTTAGTTTTTGTTTCGTTTTAGTGCCTCATTGCATTTTCAATGGGTAAATTACATCATTCATCACTCAACTATCTTCTCACTCTTATTTTGGTACTAAAGTTTAAAAAAATTCAATTTAACTACTCGACTTTCAAATTGCTCCTATTTTAATCACTCTAATTTATTTTATTAATAATTTTTATGACATGACATTTATTATTATTATTTATTAATATATAATTAAAAATAAAAAAAATTTGAAAGTTAGAGGGATTAAATTAGGAGTAGTTAGAAAGTTAAGTAATTAAGTTTGAAAAATTAAACTTTAGTGATCAAAATAGGAGTGAGAAGATAGTTGAGTGATGAATTATGCAATTTACTCATAGAAAGATGCCACATGCAAATCACCCGTTAAGATTTTAACGGTAAGATGCTAAAATGAAACAAAAACTAAACGTTAGGTATGTTTTTGATAAAATTAAAAGTTTAGATACTAAAACAGATCAAAACTAATAATTTAAGTATTAAATGCATAATTTACCCTTAAAATAAATACTCACATTTGACCCGACATATTATTAAATAAAACAGAAGTTTAATTGAAAAACTATATAGATAACGAAGATATTATAATAATTATTTAAGGTTTAATATAAAAATGTCTAAACGTTGTCTTTTTTTAATTAGGTGCCTAAATGTTTCCTATAGTTGTCTAATGTTACCAACATTATCATTTTAAGTGTCTCAGTCTTAACAGACGATATGAAAAGTCGTTATTTCACAAAATTCGCTTTTATAGTTTGTTAAAAAATTTACTTTAAAAAATATTAAAATATTATTATTTAAAAATTTCTAATTTCCTTCTAAAATCTTGAAAGCATCCCAAATCTCTAAGGTGTCGTTTGGTTGGCATGAATCCCTTGGAATTAGGGGGAATTGAAATCCAATTCCACTACTTTCTTATGTTTGGTTCAAGTTTTCCAAGGGAATTGGAATCCCTCATGGCTTCAATTTTCCATCAAATGAGGGAAAGTGAATTCTATCCAAGAATGGATGAATTCAATTCCCTTGTTGGAAGGAATTGAAATTTGACCATACTACCCTCATCAATCTTTTGGTAACTTATTCATATATTGAATAAAAATATTTTT